CCAAGGTATACTTCAAGGTGAAATGGAAACGAAAGCCTCTTCCCAGCAGCTGGCTGGATACAGTTCAGCGAAAGAATCAACGAGATGGCGACAATCACCCCAAGCAGACCAGTCCGACCAGTGAAGGACTCGATACCAGTAGCGAGAGCAGGGAAGCTGCCCTGGATATTTAGGCAAGGTCCGGTGACGATAGCGCTGTACCTGCTTCAATCACAAATTGCGACAACGCACTAGATAGCTAGAGTCCTCATTATACTGATAACACTGCTTCGTCGTCGATATCGTCAGCCAGCTCCCATACCGAAGTTTCAGTCGAATGAATGTCGGTTGCATCATGGTGCTGAGGTACCGAGTATTGAAGTAGAGGTTTCGTTGCGTCTGACATACGACTACATCAATTAGAACGCTTTGATATCGCTAACCCTTTTTGTGCATTGTTTACTGTTCTTTGTCCACTTTGTCGCCAATCGTGGTCGCCAACCCTGCAGTGCTCGACGAGGACGCCGTTCTCGGGTGATAGAACAAAGAACTTATCATGCTAACGTCTGGAGACACTTCCAACCCCAATTTATCCCGCAATGCCATCATCTTCAACAACTTAGCATCATGACTGACAGACTATCGGGACGTGGGCGTCCGGCGAGCAAGGAACGCAGAGCAGCTGCTGATGCGCGTACAGAAGTAAGTCATGATCCCGCCGGTACATGAGCAAAGCTAACGCAGCAGAAGAATGAGGTCGACCCCGAACCCACATCGCCGCCCTACACCGACTCACCTTCTGAGCCTCACATCTCTACTGGGGATCATCCACCAAGGCTCTCAAGTCCAATATCCCAGAAGCCCCAACGCGCATCACGGTCTGACGACTTTATCGAATCAGGCTCATCAAGAATTGAAGTATCGGAGGCTCATCTCACGCGCGACGAGTTCATGCCCGTTAGTATACCTGAGCAGGTCGAGCAGCCGTGGGAGCGGCATGCCGAGGAAAGCGATGCAAACTTGAGAGAACGAACTACTGAAAACCATGGAAATGAGCCAAATGAAAACGTACCGGAGAAGAATTCTGAAGCGCCAGCTGAGGGTGGGGAAGTGTCTGCTTTGTATTTAGACGATTCCGACGAACCATTTGATCCTCTTATTCGTGCTAGGCCTCCTGTTGCAGCTGGTGGGTCTGAAGCAGGGAGCGAGCCTACAAAGTCGGATATCTCGCCGCCTAACTATGCGTATAACAATATGCCTCCGCCCGACGTCTCATTACGATCTGGTGTTCTGCCTCCTACCATGTCTGCCTTCGAATACGCCATCCGTCCCTTCCTCGACATCTCGGAGATTCCTCGAGTGTACGACAACTATATCGCTCCCCTCTCCCCAATAGAATCGTCGGTTTCTTCGGCTTCCACTTCCGCTTCGTCTACAAGTCCCCACACCCATGCGCCCTCGTCGTGTTCAAACAAGACAGAGCAGCTCTTCGAGCCGCCACCCCCGGAGGATGGGTTGCCGTCTTTCTTGCACGGACAAGCGACATTGGAGAATCGTTTGAAGCATCTCACATTGACAACGGCATTGATGAGATGCGCAGTTATATCCCGATTAGCAGAGGGAATCTATACCAACCCCCATAGCGTCGGCGCAACTGGCCCTGCTTCTAAACCTCAACCCCGATCCGCATCTCGCGCTAGAACAAGCAGAAGCCGCAGCAGAGCGCGAGGGGCCCCAACAATGGAGCAGGAAGCCGAGGAGGCAGTGGAAGAACAAGGACGAGAGACACGAGTGCTCTACAGCAGTCTGTATACGCTAGCCTTCCGCCAGGCACTTCCTATTGCACAGAGCTTCGAGCACCGCGGGTTCCGGGCTAGATGTCATTACTGGATTGGGAGGGCCGAGGCCGGATTGGAGAACTGGGAGAATGCTCGGAAGGCGTTCGAACGTGCGGAGAGGGACAATGGGCAGAATGTTCAAGAGGGACTGAAAGGTAAAGAGCTCGATGTAGGAGAGTGGCTGCAGAAGGTCAAGAGGAAGGTAACAGAATTGGCAAGGCACCAAGGTATTGCTGAAGACGATCCTGATCGCGCTGCTGGTCTAGGTTTTGGTACCGAACTGGAAGACGAAGACGCAATGCCTAGTCCAACGACTTTGAACGACCAATGGAAAGGAATAGTCTTCGAAGACTGGGAATTGGAGTACATCCGCCACGGCGATGTGCAGAAATTCAAAACCGACTGGCGCAAGAAATACACGAAACGTAAAGCTGCCCTCGCGGCCGCAGCTGCAGCCACGGCCGAGGCACCCTCCTCCCTCAGTAAAACGCCAACCGAGAAACAAGAGAAGCCGTGGGGACCCCCAGCAGGGTGGCAGCCTCCCGAGACGTACCCGGAGCCCGCGTTCAGTCCATGGAATGATCTCTTCACTGGCTCGTCTTCGCACAAGACGGAGACTGATGATGCGGAGGATACTGGGGACTCTGAGATTCTAGTCGGGTCACGGGTGGGTTCCGTGATGGATGATGAGGGTGGGGAGGGAAACCATGACTTGGGCCGGGAGGAGGAATTTTAGTCCATTGGGGAGAAGGTTGACCCGTATGGTGGTTTGCAGAAGGTTTAGACCTCGAGCTTGGGTCTCTTTTCTTGGTGAATGGAACGTTCTTATGATCCGATTCGCCCAAAAGAAATACACGTTAGTTACATGGGTTGCAGCTCCGTGAAATCCAGGTGCATAGTTAGGCGAGAAAAAAGATGGGGAAGAAGGATATGACAAAATGACCAAAGGTGCTGGAACTAGAGGGCTATTCGTGAGGGATATTCTAGGTATTGAACTGATAACCCGGGAACGAGAAATCGATAACCACATTCAAAACTTGTGCATGTTGCGACACTACTGATTGATCGATATGCTAACATGCCGTCAGGTGCTCAGATACTCGCAGCTATGGTATACTTGATGTCAAGGCCCCAGAAGTTCTCACTCGGCAATTTCAACAACCAACTTGGTACAACTCACCCCCCGGAGCAGCATATCCAAGCCAGCATCGATAGCCCCCAAACCCTTTCCCACGACCTTTGGTTCTGGACTCGGCCTGACGGTCCCCTTGGCCAAGTTCTCCCTCAGCCACGTCCCAATCCAATACTGGAACTGCCCCAGCCTCTCCCCCTCCACCACCGACGGCAGCACAAACACCGTCTCCACCCCATCCACGACCTCCGCATCCGGAGGAATCATAGGCGCCGACGCGATCTTCGCCGTCTCGCCCTTCTCCCCTCCTTGGTCTCGGCCCTCTCCGAGGAACGCGGCAAGCACGGCCTGACAAGGCGCCAGTTGTCCCGTCGCCAGGAAACAGTGCCGGATCACTAGCCCGTCGTCGTCTTCGTCGTCGTAGTGGTGCTTGGCCGCCGAGACGATGGCTTCCACTACGTGCGGATCTCTGTGGTCGAAGACGCGGTCTGCGCCCAGCGAAGTCACATATTCTCTGTTCGCCGATCCGGCCGTGGCGTATACGGCCGCGATGCAGGAGTTGGCGTCGTCGTCGTCACGTAGCAGACGCGCGGTTTGTACGCCCATGGTGCCGATGCTGGAGGAGGCGCCCCAGATCAAGAGGGCTTCTCTCTTTTTTGTGTTCCTCTTCACTTGTTCTTCTCCTTCCTCTCCCACCCGGGGAATCCCCATGATATCCCACGCATTAAGTGGTACTTCAACAGCGACGGGCAACGTCGCCGCCTCGTTCCAAGACAGGCCTTTGTCCGGGAGAGGCACGGCATGCTGCCAGGGCACCAGACACCGCTCCTGAAACGCGCCGTAGTCTGCATCGCAGGACCTCCAGAAGGACGCGGCAAAGGCGGCCACGCGGGTGATGCCTGCTCGGAAGAAAAGCCCCGGACTATCTCCAGATGCACCACCACCACCACCACCACCACCAGCCGTGGTCGGGACATTACAACCGGCCTCGAGAACTAGTCCCGCGACGTCGAAGCCGATGACGGTGGGGTACGCGGGTATGAAGAGCCCTTGGTCGCGCATGTATGCATCGGCCGGGTTGAGGGCTACAGACTTGACGGCGATGAGCAGCTCATCTGGTCCCGGCTTGGGTGTGATGCGAGTTTGGACCTCAAAGGGCTGGCCTTTGCCCGGGGAGACGGCAGCGAGATGCGTGGCCAGCATTTTCTTCTTATATAAATGTTCTGAGTGTGGATGGATGGATGGATGGATGGATGGATGGATGGATGGATGGATACAGTAATTATTATCAAAAAAAAGGACTTTCTTTCTGTCTTTTTTTTTCAAGATATATATCGAGGGGGAGGGGAGGGAGGGATATTACCCGTCTATTCATTATTAGTTATCCTTCTCTCTCTCTCTCTCTCTTATACAAAAACTAACATACATGGATTATTATTATTCTAATCATCTTACTTACCATACTTGCATACTTACCATACTTGCATACTTACCATACTTCTATCATGTCATGCATGTCTGTCATGCACATGCATGCATATACGCTAACATGCCCCCCCCCCCCCCCCCCCCCCCCCCCCCCCCCCCCCAAATCTATTCTCCTTTAGGAAATTCCACCACGAGGCAACGGACGCTAACTACGCTTCGGAAGCAGACATGTCTGATTGGCTGTTTGGCTGGCTGGCTGCGAGTTCTGAGTGGGGGCCCGCCATGCATGTTCTTCATCATCCATCAGCCCACAGTGGAAAAAAAACGGAAAAATTCCCAAAATAAAAAATAAAAAAATAAAAAAATTATTAATGACGAAGGGTGGGTGGGTGAGTGATGAATACACTACTACACACGCTCTATTTGTAAAGAGTTTTCTTCCCCCCAAAGTTTCCAGTCTTTCCCTACTAATTACCCCCTCCCCCCCCAAAAAAAGAGAGAGACAAAAAAAGAAAAAAAAAGAAAAAAAAAGTAATATTTTTTGGTGGAGAAGCAGGGGACTAATAAAGTCGACGTTAGTATGTATATCATTATCATACTACTGCTTCGTGTGAAGAAGAAGAAAGGGATTCAAACGTACTCGAACCCTGGGCCTCCCGCAGACAAAGTAAGTCGTTGTGCAAGCAAGCAAGCAAGCTAATGCAAGCAAGCTAATGCAAAGCGGGCGCTCTACCACTGAGCCACATCCCCTATTATTATTGTTGTTGTTGTTGTTCTTTTTATGCTTCTGGGCATGTTAGTTGTTTATTAAGCGAGAGGGAGATGGAAGATGGAAGATGGAAGAGGGGAGGGGGGAGGGGGGGGGAAAGAGGATTGGATTGGATTGGATTGATGGGGGGGGGGGGGGGGGGGGGGGGGGGGGGGGGGGGGCGGGGGACGCAGGGGCGTCGATTTATGCATGTTCCATCCAGCCAGCCAGAGCCAGCCCCCCCCCCTTGGCACCTTTCGGGGGAACGACTATTATCACGACCGCCTGCTTCTATCTTATTACTGTATTATTGTATGTACGCAATCTCTTGGTTCGTCCGTCCATTGAATCCACTTCCTTCCTTTTTTTCTTCTCACGCGGGAAAATAGATTCCCTCAAGCTCTTGTGACGCGTTGAATAATTGATTATTATTACATGCATGCATGGAAAAATGGATTTGGATTTGAATAGCTCGAGAGCGCTTGTTGTTCGCGAGCAGCCGCCCAGGAAAAAGACGACGACGATGCTGCGCAGATCGAGATATGGTTGCCGAAACTGCAAGCTCAGAAAGCTCAAGGTACGTGGCTGGCTGGCTCCCTCCCTCCCTCCCTCCCTCCTTCTCCCCTGATTGATTGATTGATTCACTGGTGGACCCCCTTGGCTGAACGCGAGGTTCCCCGTCGTCTGCTATGTAGTGTGACGAGGGTAGACCACAGTGCAAACGATGTAGTGCCTTTGGCGTGTTGTGCAACTTTGCGTCTGGGAATATTCCCGACCTGCAGCCCGTCGTCATTGTCGCCGCTGGAACAGGCCGGCTGTTGGCGACTCGGGGAGGAAGGGCAGAGCCTCGACCCCCTGTCGACAGTGCCGTCTGGACGTCTGACGAATCTACGTCGTATCAGTTGAATGCGAGGTGTCAGGATTTCATTACTAGGTATCTGGGACGTAGTCTCATTACGCCGGATGATCCTGCTATGGTACATGTTAATCGCAGACTACTGAGGTTAGCCTTTGCCGTGAGTATTGCTGCGTACATACAATTCCCTCTGTCTTGTCCCCATCGGATCGAATCGAAGCTGGGTTGCGTATGTATTGTAGGTCTGAGCGCGGTTGACATGCGGCTTACAGTACCCTTTCTTGATGCACGCCTCTCTAGCCGTGGCGCTTACCTACGACCGCCATCTAAACGCGTCACTAGGTCATCGTCGCAGCCTGGAAGAGTGCTATCACTGGTCCCAAAGCACCGTTCTCTTCAACAAACGGCTACGGGAGCCCATCGAAGCGGAAGACAGGGATCCAATATGGGGCACCGCGGCCGCCCTATCCATCCTGGCCTTCTCATCGCCCGACGCGAGCACGCCGGAAGAATCGTGGCCGTTGAAGTCCCCCGACCACGCCGATCTCGACTGGCTGCGTGTGAGCCATGGTAAAATGGCTCTGTGGCACATCGTCGACCCGCTGCGTCCGGACAGCATCTTCCGCGTCATGGCTGCGACGTTTGCGCACATGCAAGAGCCTTTGTCAGAGAAGGGCATACACGGTATACCGCTGGCCTTGGCCGCAGCGTGCCACCTCGACGACTCATCGACGCCGCGCAACAATCCGTATTTCCGTCCCGCCCACGCACTGTCCCATATCCTGCACCTCCCGGAGAGCAAAGTCACCACTGGTCTGACGCACATCTTCACACGCAATATTGATGGCCCCTTCGAGTCCTTGCTCCGGGATAGGGACCCCGTGGCGCTGCTGTTGCTGTATCTGTGGTACCGCAAGGCAGGTCATGGAATTTGGTGGGTGGAATTGAGGGCTAGAGTCGAGTGTCCGTCTATTTGCTCGTATCTACGCCGGTATCATAAGGGGAATGGGGCAGTGCTGGCTTTCCTGCCGGGGGGTGATCATGCCGATATGTGCAGATGGGAGTAGTTGGGACTGCAAAACCTCGAGTTCAGTTCTCGCCCCTTTTGAATTCGTTGATATGATGAACTGAAATAGTGATCGGCTGTCTTTGGTGTAGAAGATACACTGGGAAGGATGATATATCTTTGTAGGCGCGGGGCGTTTGTCTGGCTAGCGTAGATGTGAGTTTGCAGCACTGTCACCCTCGGCACGTTGATATATCTATGCCGCACAGACCAATGTTGGCTCGAGCGAGCGTAAGTAATACGTTGGTGGTCCGCGCACTTCAGGGGTGCCTATTCCTGATGAAGTATACATCTACGTGTACCTCCATCGCACCTCTACTCAGAAAGAAGTTAGCACATAATCAACTGCGTAGTATCTAGCTGATCAATTGCAAGACGCCTGCCCGATGCCAGTATGCGAGGCTGTAATCGACGCCCAGGGCTCAGGGCATGCATACAAAGTACCAGAACTTGTTCGTGGCATTGTAGAAATCTGGAAAAGCGTTACCAAATCACACAGCATCCATCTATCCCGCACCCCTGAAATGCACGGACCACCGACACTGACTGATATTTTCGCCAGATCCTAGACCACCGCACACAACAGCGCATGTTGAGGGAGGGCGGAAAGAGATGTGTTGCATAGATGAGGAAGCGAAAAACTGTAGGATAGTTGCGAGCAAAATATTCTGATGACTTCTGCCCACTTACGAGTCAGCTTGACTTGCGATGGCGGACTGGACTCTATTGTCCCGTAGGAAGATAGGCGATTCTGCAGATGGTAGTATGAAGACGCGACCCTTCACTAGTTCGATATAGACTCGGCCAAACCTACCGAGAAGATCGTCTTGATAATCGGCAGATCAAGGGCCTCCAATGCATGCCGCGCTTTGACATGGTCTAACATGATGTTACCATTCTTGGCGAGTGCATCAAAAGTTAAAACCGAAATGTCGTCGAACATATCTTTCCACGGAAATGTTATCAAGGAGGTTCTGGAGTATTGCCGGACAATTGGCCAGTATACAAGAGGTAATGAGTATAACTTGATTTTGTTCTCCCTCTTCCGAGCTGAGAATCTTTAGCAATGATCATGAAATGCGTGGTGTGTGAACATACCACATACTGAATGCCGATGGCTCCAGTCTTTGGGAATTGAGAATGATTGTGCCGTGTGTTGAGTTTAGCACCGTGTTCGAAGTGTGCTGAGATTGGGCGAGTGGAGGGTTCCCACTGTTGTCGTTTGAGGTGTTCTGAGAAACTGCGACTGTTCTCGGCTGATGGTCTTGTATGGACCCAGGAGAGCCAAAGTCGGGAAAGTGGAACATCTCGAGTGGGCTGTCGGTTGGATGGTCACAGCAACGCGGAACAACGATTGTGAGATTACTGGTTTGCTGAAAAATGAAAAATTGGGTGTATACTTGCTGTGCTCCGAGTTCGCTCTATCGCCTTGCTAATCAGTTGAAGTCAGGTACGTTATTTCATGTTGTGGGAAGTTGCAGTAAGCCCCGCATAAGTATTCTGATTGTTCTCACAAACCACGCTCTAGCAGAATCCTCGTCACCGTCGTGTTGTTCTGTTTTACAAGAATTGGTGACGGTAGCCAGATGATACGCGTCTTGCAGCCGCAATCCAGTAGAGCTAACTCATCACTGAGTAGCTGGCATATTAAGGTTCTACATACGTGTATACATCAACGTGAGATGTAGTTGAGATGGAAGTGGCAAAAGTGATGATGGAACTGGAGGGGGTGGAACGAGAGGACGTGTTCTTTGGACCTCAAGAGGTCGAGGTCGCAGTGAGCCAATCCTATAGCGGACTAGCGCGTCCGCTAGCGAATATCAGATTTCGCGCCGGACCTAACCTCAACTCTCCTTATCTCAGCAAGGCTTCGAGATCCTCCATCTCAATGTCGCTCCTGGGGCTTCATCGCACATTCGCGCGGCCACTCCCATCTGTTTTCCGTGAATTGGGACTCCCCCCTTATCGCCGACTAGTGTATCAGCTGGACACTCACGTTCTGACGCGTGGCAAACACAGCACTCCGCAGCCAAGACAACCTTCACGAAAAGCGACGCCCCCAAGGCCAGTTCGTGGACATGACGCAGCATTACCTAGAGTAACAGGCGCAATTCCACAGGTTAATAAATTGAATAATCCTGGACAGCAACGTCGTAATAATGACCCAAAGGTCTATTTCCCCACGGAGCCACCACCAAAGGAAGAAGCAGAAGAAGAAGAAGAACTTCCTAGAGTAAGAGTTCGCTTTCTGAGACCTATCGTCTGGTCTATCGGAGCATCGAGTTGTATATACCTCCTTCTATCCTACCTACAAGCCAAAAGCGAGCTCAAGGCTGTAACCCGCCAGCCATACATTCCACAGATCCCGCAGCGTTTCGACAGGAGTCCTCCAGGGCCCATTGAGCTCGCGACGCGCATCTGGTCACAACAGCAGCCCGTCGACAAAGTCGCCGTGGGCCTCATCGGCGCCAATGCTGTAGCTCATCTCGGCAGCTTTCTCGCTCCGCGATTCTGGTTGTTGTTATGGCATACGCCGGCCATGAATCTCAACTTCACCCTGTTCACGTCCACTTTCGTGCATGAAGGGCCTATGCATCTGTTGTTCAATATGTGGGCTTGCTTCAACTTCTTACCAAGCACGGGGAAGTCGCCACTCTTCGAAGGAAACGCGCACCACACTCTTGCCTTCTTCTTGACCACGGGCATCTTATCTGGACTTACCGAACACCTAACTCTTCTATTCAAGAAGAGTCCAAGGCTGCCATTTGTTCGATCTGGCGGCGCAAGTGGTGCTCTCTTCGCGTTATTGGGTGTTTTCTGTACGCAGTATCCTGATGCGAAACTCAAGGTCATCCTTCTGCCCTTCCAATTCGATGCCATGAACTTTTTGTATGGCATCATGCTTTTCGACTTTTACGGCATGATCAGGGGTTTCAAATTCATCAACTTGGGTCACGCTGTGAGTATCCCCGAAACGGAGCACAGCTACTTGTACTGATTTGTCAAAGGCCCATCTGTCGGGAGCATTCATTGGAATAGGTTACTCGTGGCTGGATGGAAAGAATGCCATTTGGAATCCT